ACTTAAGTTAAGTTTTCTTTGTCATCATTTCTGTCGTTAAGTTTTACCTTGCAAGTAAATAAAACCGAGTAATTATCATTCTGTGTTTTCTTCTTCAACTTATCACAGCAATAGTAACAACAATTAGGTAATCATTGGCTGTCGCGGGCCAGATTGATGACAGTAAATCATTGGCTGTCGCGGGCCGGATTGATGACACTGGCGGGCGGGATTTGGCCCGCGGGCCGTAGTTTGGAGACCCCTGTTTCAGATGAACCCACATAAAAATCCTAACCAGCTCTAGTAGTGGAAGCCTATCATTTTGTATGTTGCAATACATATCACTTCTAGGCTAATAGGTAATTTACAAATATATTAATTATTAGCATTTTATGCTCAACGTTATTCAGATAAATGGTAAATTTTGGCAAAACAGGTAGATTTTGAAAAAAAATTACAACACAATAATATTTCTAGGAAAACAGATGGTTTTGACATTTTATGAAAACGAATTTACCACTTGGTAGGTAAATAACTTCCCGTTGGTCGTTTGAAACAAAATATGAATGTTTGCGTTTATGGTTTTCCAGAGATTCCAGCAATTTAACTTTCTGTATGAAATAAGTAGAAATCATGGTTGTGGCTGAAATAGGTGGAATTGGTTTTATTTGTATCAAACCTTTGTTCATAAACTTTTGAGCACAATCCACATGTTAGTTTGTTGTTTCTGATTTGTTATCTTTGTCAATTTTCAACTTGTTGTTTACTGCATTTTGACGTCCCTGTTGAGAGAAGATATGTAGATGCATATATCAAAATCATTCACTACAGAACTATTTAGGCGATTAACAAGATTTTCATAGACAAAATTTTCAATACACAGCAAAACTGGGACTGAAACTACTCTGAATAGTGATCACAATCAGTTACCTTTATTATCAGAAGAGGTTGATCCAAACATTTCCTTACATTTGTTATTCTTGAGTGTTGTTGAATAAGTTTTCTGTGATATGAGAACGTAGTTTCATAATTTGACTGGGTAGTTTCACAGAAAAAAATGAAGTCATCATTCGAGAAGGGTTAACTTTGACGACCAGATGTGAGTGTGTAACTATTTTCCGGGTTTATTGGCCGTAGTCTGCAGGTGTTATACCGGATGTTCCGTCTACTACTGCGATAGACATCATTCAGCCGAGTAGCCTTGCTACGCAAGTCACAGCCTAGATACGTAGGCTGTTACTTGTTTCTTTAGGTTCAAATAATGAAAGTACCTCGAAATTTAACCGACTGTTTCGTCAATATCTAGGTGTTTATCCTCATCGTGATAGAGTTCAATTATGACATCTCTGCAGTCCCTTTCAGCTGAATTAAAAGCAATAGCGGAATGATTTATGCATCCTCAACAGAAAATACTGAAGAAGCGTCGAACCTAACTAACACATTTTTTCAAGAGGGTTTCGAGAAGGGAAGTAAGAGATAGCAACACAATTCAGTTGACAAAACGATGTTTTTGTCTACGAAAAACACAATAATTTTGTTGTGAAAAATGCGTAGAAAAACTTTGCTTTTTGAAATGATGTATATTTTGGCTTTTTTTCAAATACAATTATTGTTTTAAGGTATAAATTGCATGTTAATTGAATGTACAGATATACCCTTTAAGCTGTTCAATTAATTATTTTTGGGTAAACATTTGTGAGAGTGCGAGTGGAAGGTTGAGCAAATTTGTGATTTATGTATATAAATGAAACAGTAGCTAAATATTTTGTTCAATAAACCACCATTCCAGGAGAAATCAATTGTTTAAAACTCATAGATTGATATTTTTCATTAGATTGCATTTTTCATGGCAAACGATATAATTATAGTATAATATTGTAACGAATTAAGGAATGAACTGTCTTAATCAAATTTATTTTTAACAATATTTCACTATCACAACTAATTTATATACAACACTTAGTAACAAACGCTTAATTTATCTTCACAATTAGATTCCTTTCCTTAAACGCACGATTCGCTTTCTAAGTACAGACTACTCCGAGCGACGTTTTTTTATCGTCAAAGAACGTTCCGGATTTCTCTGCGGAATTCGGGACCCATCCACACCTTTCCCGCTGGTACGCGATCAGACATGCGTTTGCTGACTGGGACATCGGTCAGGGCTGGCTTCAGATTCATTACATTGCCCCCTTCTTAAAGACGTTTCGCCCCGAAATGTCATCCTTGGCGTGTGTTGATACCTGCAGAACTCTCCGTATTTGCACTGTGAACTTCGATGGAAGTAACACTCCACCGTCTTTATGCTCGGTCGTGGAAGATGGTTATCACACACCAAAATCTGGATGCCGCTGGATCTGAAGATCGTTTCCAACATGCTTCTCACAATTCTCCAGTCCAGCCTGTCGAGCCCAGAGGCTAATTTCGGGATTGCCAACTCCACAAGATTCTGGTCGAGCATCGTCTCCTTCAGTCTAGTAAGACTCCTCCAGACATCTTCATAGGACGGTTTGTCGCGAGAATGCTTTTTGGTCACCAAGTAGAAGATGTTTCTTTGACCCTTCTTCAACTGTAGCACTCCTCCGACTTCTGAATTCTGTTCTCGTAATGTTTGAAGCTGACCGAATTTCTTTTTGAATACCACAGCGATATCCTTGGACATTTGGAGATCCCCTGTCACGCAGTGAGCTAGTGCGTAATTAACTGGAACCTTGAAAAGGTCTCGTGGCTCTTCTCGAGTTACCCCATGTTACCTTCTGTCCGTTCGAGTATAAGGCTATGAATTGTTGGAACGTCATTTCCAACAATTTCCAACTGAGGGCGCGAACTTGGTAGTGATTTCCAGCATAAGGAGCCAGTCTATTGAAATGGACGACCCTAGGCTTTCCTCGAGGTGGCTTATGGATTCGGTAGACGAGGTCATTAATCTTTTTCATGATTTTGTACGGACCTTCCCACGAGTTCCGCAACATCGGTGATAAACCACGGCGTCGCTTAGGGTAGTACAGCCAAACTAGGTCACCAGTTTCGAATTCTCCAGCATTCGCCTTGATGTCATAGGCCTCCTTCATCCTATTGCTGGCACTCCGGATGTTCAGACGGACTCGTTCATGAATATCGTCCATTCTCTGCCGAAGCTTGCTGACATAGTCTTCCCTCTCAGTGTCTTGTTCTGGAGGCGTCCCAAATTTTAGGTCGCAAGGAAGTCGCAGCTCCCGTCCCATTATAATACTGGCAGGGGTTTGGCCGGTTGACTCATGCACTGCCAAACGATAAGCCAGCAGGAACAGGTGGAGGTATTGGTCCCAGTCTCTTTGTTGGTCAGATACTACCTTGGACAAGTGGCGGTTTATAGTCTTATTCATTCGTTCCACCATTCCATCGGACTGTGGATGTAAGGCTGTGGTTCTGGTCTTTCGAATGTCCAACAGTTTACATACTTCCTAAAACAGGTTGGACTCAAAATTTCTGCCCTGGTCCGAATGCAGCTCCAATGGGACACCGAATCGACATATCCATTCCTTTACCAGGACGTCAGCGACGGTAAAGATAGATACATTTATGAAAACAACCTCTCTTTGTCGAAATTGATTCGCCATTTAGATTCCTCCTCGGTACAAATGTTCGAGTGTAACAATCATCTCTAACGAAAAAATTACCAAAAAAATGGCTACACCTTGAAGAAACCTGCTGTCAATTACATATGTAAGGCATTAGCTGAATACATCGAGCTGTTATTCAATAATAAAGAAACTGAACAACGAGTTGAGGAGCTGAAAGTAACAAATGAGAAGCTAGTTCCCCTGAACAATACCAATTTATGAATCTTGCCAGTTCATCCACGCAGTCAGGAACTGAAGTGAATACCCTGGCAGAGAGCGACAAGCAGACTGCAATTTCTTCTGATAATTCATCACCAGACGCAAAACCCCTACATCCGCACATTTCCCGACTAGAGGTTCACCAACCTGTAAACAAACAGGAAAATTTTTATATCCCAGATTCATCCAAATTGAGATCCAGCTGTAAATATCAAAATCATTGATGTGACAAATAATGCAAGTCTTCTTCATCAAAATATACAATTTCTCAATACCAGTAGAAATGAATTGGAGGTTTCTAAAACTAGTGTTGATATAAAATTTTGTGTGTAACCGAACATTTGGT